CAATTTTAAAGAGTGAGCAATAGAGTAATTGAAAGGAGCTGTATCTTGGCCAACTCAAAAGACCTCAAAGGCATTTATAGTGACCTATATGAGAAAACATGGTGACCACAAAGTGTGTCATAATGGCTTGTAATCCATGCTGTGCTAAATGGTTCAAAGATAGGAAAGACAGGGCAAGAATAAAACATTCAGTTCTTAAGAGTCACCTACCCCTGGGATTGATGCTCTGATCTGCTTGGTCCACTCTCCAAGGGATCTAGAAACAGTAAAGTGATGACATTAGCTGATGATTCCATTACTTGGGTTAATCAAGGCAGAGGGGACAGACGGGGCCAATTAAGTAGCTGGGCAGCCCATTGATAGATGAATCATTACAGGCAAGTGCAAAGATAATGCCACTGGGAAAAGCAATTTAAGTCATTCATGCACTTTCAGACCAGGAAATCCTTCTAGTCTTTGAGGGGGATCATTTAGGAATCATCAGACCCAGCCTGATGAAGTCATCTATTCATTGTGCAACTAACGATCAACAAAAGAGCTGAATGCACAAGGGGACAGACCATATGGAATACATTTTGGTGGCTGGGATGTATATCTCTGCCTTCACTTCAATCACCTTCTTTAAAACAAGTCTTACTCCATCCCTCTTTGCTTTTTCTTTCCTATCCACAATCTCCCCCTACTCTTTATGTTCTAATATACAAATTCAATGTATGGATGACATTTTTTTAATGTAAAGACAAATATTCTCATTCCTAATTTCTAGTTCTTTTCTTCACATAGGTTTCTCTCTGTACACATAATAAGTTTCCAAGAGACTCTTCAGCATGTTACAAAACAGGGTTTTTTTTAAGCACCAAGGAGGCTGTGTCTATAAAAGTTATACAAATTGTTCTACACCTCTCTGAACCCATTACTTGTAAATTCAAGTTTCAAATCTGAAACTTTGGGGGAGAAGGTTTATCTTAAAGAAGAAGAAGAAGAAGAAGAAGAAGAAGAAGAAGAAGAAGAAGAAGAAGAAGAAAAAGAAGAAGAAGAAGAAGAAGAAGAAGAAGAAGAAGAAGAAGAAGAAGAAGAAGAAGAAGAAGAAGAAGAAGAAGAAGAAGAAATAAAAGCATATATCAATTAAAGTGAATCATACTTTCAACTACTTGTTTTTTAAAACTAAAGTCCCAATCAGAAACCTGAAAATAAAAGTTATCAATAATGGCCACAATGATAGATCTAATGAACACCATTTTTTTCTCTTGATTTATCTTCTCCATCCTTGACTGCTATTTATCTACCTTTTAAGTTCATCTTCCTCTTCTCAACCATTAAATGTTGGATTCTTCAATTGCTATGCATTTTTTTTTAGATGATCTACCCATAGTTTCTGCTTCATCATGCCTAGTTCTCAATCATTCTGTTCTACAAACCATAGGACCATTGTACCTGTTCTGTTTCCTGTACCTGAAATGCTCTCCTCTGTTGTGTGTGTGTGTGTGTGTGTGTGTGTGTGTGTGTGTGTTTGCTAATCCTCACCCAAGGATATTTTTTCCATTGAATTTTAGAGGGAGTGGAAGGAAGAGAAGGAGGGAAAAGAGAAACACAGAGAGGAAGACATCAATGAGAGAGAAAGAAACATCAACTGGTTGCCTCCCACACGACCCTGACCAGGGCAGGGATTGAACCCACAACCCAGGTATATGCCTCTGACCTGAGCTGAACCTACAACCCTTTGGTCCGAGGGCTGATGATGCTCAAACTGATGAGTCCAACCAGCCAGGGCTCTCCTCTGATTTTTTGCCAGGTTTACATTTGTTTATCCTTGAGATCTAAGCTCATTTATTATGTATTGACTTTCTCAGACTTGGTCCAATCTAACATGCGTTCTCATAATACCAAATAGCATTCTTTACAGCACTCATCAGAGCTACAATTTACCATTTATGATTATTTGATTGTCTGTCTCCCACTAGACTATAAGCTCTTCCCTCTTCCTATTTCTTTTTTTCCTGTTTCTACTACTAACCTTGCCCTCCTCAACTCTCTTCTTTATGAGTTACCATAGCTTCTACCAATGGTTCCCTCTATCTTATAGATTCTGATAATAAGCTTTTCTCTCTAGGTACCCCAATATGTAGTCTTACTACCAATTATTGATTCTTTTTAAATTCTTCACATTCACACTTTACCAGTAAGAGGATCTTATTATTATTATTCATATTTATTATCTCTTTGGAAAAGTTCTTACAATAGGCTAATTCATGGATCCTTGGCCAATACCCAAATGGACTGCCCTTGGGTCAAGGGTGTCCTGCATCCATTAGCCTTAGCCAGCATGGTGGGGGTAAGAGGTCAGGTTTCCTGAGAAAGTATAATAAGCCAGATACTTTTTTTATCACAACCTGCTTGCTGAGAGCTGTCAGACTTGGGGATAGATCTTCTTTGAGACCTGGGATTGGGTGAAGGATAATAACAGAAAACAAGTAGGGACATTTGGAGCATTCAACATCATTCTCCTTGGTTGGTGTTTCACTCAATAAAATCTCCATTCCTCAGCATATATGTTAACACATTTAAAATGTTACAGAAGTCAAGTATATTTTTGTCTGATGAGCAAAGAAAAATTCTAAAAAGAGGATATGATTTGGGGAGTGATAAAGCCTAGTTAAAAATGTCAGATGTTTGGATAAAGAAAGTGCTTTTTGAGGGGCTGTCTACTTTTGAGTCACCCTTACTTTTCAGGAGTAACCCTTCAGGTTTCTCACCCAAAGTGAAAGGGATCTGCCAGTACTTCTCTGTAGTAGGCTCCAGACTTTAGTCCTCAATGTCCTATCTCATCCCTCACAACATGAGTCTGTCTAAAACTTGCTCAACCTTCAACCTCTCAACTATCTCTACTGAAAAAAAAAAAAAATGGTATAACAATGATCCTAACAGCTGGCAGTGATAAATTTTATTGAACTTCGGGGAAGAGATGGCCACCATTCATTATCTGGTGGACATTAATCATTGCTGCTATTGGGCAGAGCACCATAATATAGGGGTTAACAACACAGAATCTAGAACTCAATTACCTGGGCTTAAATTCTGATTCTGCTACCTACTAACTATATGACTTGGGTAAGTTACTTGGCTCCTCCTCATTTATAACATGAGATTACAACATCTATGTCAATACAGTTTCTAAATGGCTAACTAAATTATTAAATATCAAGTGCTTATAACAGTGGTAACTTTACATATGTGTGAGCTACAAGTATTATTGTTGTTGATATTATTATTGTCCTTTAGAAGTAACCTTATCCAATTAATGGATATTTGTATTTCTCAGGACACATTTGGTTAGAGGTTTTAGAAATCCAGCTCAAAGTGACTTAAGTAAGAAACAGAAATGTATTGGTTTACACAACCAGGGCTAGTCCAGAGAATGGATTCACTTAGGCATAAATAGGTCTAAGCAATTGATTATGCCATCAGGACTGTTGCTGACCTGTGTCTTAGCTTTCTTCTTGGTCAACATCATTCTCAAGCAGGTTTCCTCCATATGGTGACAAAGATGTAGCTTGGGAGTGACCAAATTCTCACAGTAGATCTGAAAGACTCTACTAGGCCCAGGTTGTGTTCCATCATGAGCCAATAATAAGGAGAATAAAGTGTTCCTATTGGCCAAGGCTTGATCACATTTATCACTGCCAGCTGTTAGAATCATTGTTATACCCTTGTAGCAAAATGGAAAGGTAGGATGAACTTTACATGAACACCATGGTCCATTGGAGGAAGGAGGTTGAGCAGGAGATGTCACTGCTTACGCCATTGTCAAGGCACAATCTAGGGCCATGTCTCTAAGAAGGAAGTAAACAATATGTTTACTAAAAGTTTACCCGTTTTATATCTGGAGAACTATAGACAACCAGTAGTGATGTTCAAAATATTGAATAACTGGTAGAGCAACAGCTCTTATCAGTTTGAATAGACACCTGACCAATCAGAGGTCAACAGTAGCAGCACATTTCTGCTGAATAGCAACCTTGCATCAAATGTAAACTGGACTGATTTCTAGGGGTGTAAACACCTAATGCTGTGCAACCTTCCTTAATGAGAATTTACTGACTAGCTGTGGCTGATTTAGTGACTTTCTTGATTAGAGGCAGGACTGGAGTAGACAGATGTCCTCAGAACTCCTTCTGCTCTTTAATTCTATTGTCATCTCACATGTATAACCTCACCACTGGACATATGCTGAGGACAAAGGATAAGCGTCCAAGCAAAAGCACCAATAACCTTGAAATGAACATATGCACCTTGGCTAGACTTTCTGTTTGAAGTAAACACTGTCATTCTTTTCTGCTTGGGGAAAACCAGAGGCCCCCCTCTTTCCTTCCCTTTATTACTCTACCATCACCAAATGTCTCACAAAACATCCCTGGTTTCAGCTGGGCCTATCTTGTCCAGAAAAATGTTATTCCTCCAAATTCAAGTTGGGTAGCATGTTCTTTAATTAGAGACTTGAATGCGGGGCAATCTTTTTAGCTCAACTTGGCTAAAAAGCCTCTACGAACACCTAGCATGATAGTGGGTTGTATGTGTGGTGGGGAGGAAGAGGCGGAGACTTCTTGTGTCATTTCTTCTCGAGTTAATGTTTCTAAAGCAGTTAGTGCAAAGTCCATACACAATAGGTACCTAGTAAATGATAGTTCATCTCCTTCCTTCTTGCTAGAAACCTCTCCTGCTACCCTACTCCACTGTGTTCCTGCAGCCTAGCCTACCTTTAATTGCTAGCAGTACCTGGCAGCATCATTGCCCCTAGATCCTGTCTTCCAGGCTCAGGGCAGTTCCCAAGCATCAGTGCCCACACCTGCTCACCAGGAGACATGTCCCTACCCTACTTCCACCTCTTCCCAGCCAACACTGCAGGCCTGCAGAATGACTTAGGAATGCTTGCCAAGCCAATCTGACCTTTGTTTCCCTCTTCCTGGTAGTAATTGATGGATTTCATGCCTGTCTCCTTTCAGGGTTAAAGAGAGTACGACAACTTGCAAAAAACACAAGATACTTCAGACAGAGACTGCAAAAAATGGGATTCATTATCTATGGCAATGAGGAATCTCCCGTTGTTCCCCTGCTCCTTTACATGCCTGGTAAAGTAGCGTGAGTATCCAACAGACTCTCAGAGTAATGCAGAAGCCCCGAGGTGATCTGACTAAGATGGTGCCTTTGACACTATGGAGCTCTTGCAACATAGGTGTTGATTGTGCACTTTGAACAGGGAGCTGAGTCCAGAATTCACTTATAGAACTGCTCAGAAGCCACATGCCAGCCCATCAGCAGGGTCTTTCCACAAGTGCTAAGCTCAACCATTTTCTAGCTCTGTGAATTTAGGGGAGCCACCTACCCTTCCTAAGGCTCAACAGTAAATTAAGGATGTTCCTGAGCCTCCTCCTGCCCTAAGATCTTTCTCAGGGAGAACTTCTCCTAATATTTAAGAACAAAAATTCCCGGGTTTTGTGCTTTCTCCCATTGAACCCTTGGGACCATCCTCAAAAGAAAGCATCCTTACTTTAAGTGTGGGGAGACTGAGGCTGAGAGCAGTTAAACAACTTGCTCCATGCCATACTTGTCAAGCAGTAGATCCTAGAGAACAACCCAAACCTGGGCTTGCTCCAAAACTCATGCTCTCAACACTAAATTATAAAACCTTTCCTGCATATTTGCATGTCTGACCAAGCCCATGGTGGAAAGTAATATTCAACGTACATTTATCAGATTCTAGAGGTCCCCTCTTTGAATAAAACCCCAATATTGGAAATTTCTGTTTGGCTCTCTAACAGTCTGAATAGATTGGCAGAGTGTTGGAGGTATAGAAAACAGGTCCAAGGGCTATCAGTTGAGACCTTGTGATGGGTAGGAGTGAGTTAATAGTTCCCAAAAGGTTGATTCTTTGGAGTACACTTTTGTGTCATTTCACCACAGCAAAATCCCAAACAGCTAAAACACGTGTGAGTTGTTTCATGTGCACAGGTTTACCACCACTCAGCCTTTTGTTCACAGATCTGAGTCAGGACATCAATGCCTGGAATGGCAAGCAGACAGCATGCTACAGAAAGGTCCCATGGGATCCTGCTCTGTGACCATGGTGATTCAAAGTAGCAGATAATCCAAAACCCTTTATTTACCATCTGATTTGAAAAGCACAAAAGGAAATCTAATTTACTCAGAGTAATTGGGGAAATGGTGTGTTCTGGAAGAAAGATTCCACATTTGTCTCATGCCAGTCTAATATTTTATCATTGGCTCAAAGGAAATCAGCAAATATCAACTTACTTTATTTTTGAGAGTGTGACATGCATAACACGGCAGGTGTCAGTCAGGGGTATGCTGGATGGTTCCAACTTTGACGATGAAAGCTGGAATTAAAACCTCAGCAGGTTGGGAAATAGGTCAATCCAATGAGAAGAGTTCATAGCATAGAAAGTAAGAAAAAATGCATTTAAATTCTAGAGATCAACTGTACAATGACAGAAAGTTCCCCTGCTCTTTTATATTCCAGGAGTACCAACTGGACAACAGTAAATGTGAAAAATAAAAATAGAACTGAGAGGGAGCTTCACGTACAAGTTATGCTCTATGGTGTAGTGAGATGTTTGGAATGAAAAAGAATTTTGACTCTGCCTCTTCCTAGCTGAGCAAACCTTGGACAAGTTACCCAAACTTCTGAAGCCCCATTTTTTTTCATTTTGGAAATGAGATATAATAGTATCTATTTCATAAGGCCATTGTGAAGATTAAACAAGATGAGATATATCAGCATTTGACATTGCCTCTTATATAGAAGCTACTCAGTATTAGCTATCATTATTAATAGCATTAAGAATATGTATAAAGCACTTAATATAGTGTTTGATGTTTTTTAAGCACTCAATCAGTGGTAGCTGTTATTATTATTACTACTACTTCTAATTCTGCTACAGTGATGATTATTACTAGTTTTAACTGAGTGCAAGATTGAGTTACTATAATTGCATGGCTCCCAAAATAATTATTGCAATCTTTAGTTACATTAATAAAAATAGACCTTCCAGGAAAAATAGTAGTAAAGATACAGCGATACTCTGCATCAATTATTCCATATTGAACACTGGAGGATGTCAAACTATCTAGTGCCTTCCAGTTTAAGACGGTTTTAATGAGGAGCTAATATTGCTAAATGCCAATTATATGCTACTTAAGGCTCTTAGACCAAGGGACCATCCACTGAGGGTAGGACGCTTAACCCTAGTTTACAAATGAGGACAACAAGGCTCACAAAAGTCAAACTCCTTCCTAAGGGCCACTCAGGTTGTAGGTAGTAGAGCATAGAACGCATTTGCCTCCTAAACCAGGGCTCTTTGCAGTGCACAGCACAGCCTCTTGAGCTTTAGTGCATGGGGGGAAATGCACATCTCACTAAAGCGGGGTGTAAGTTCAGCCCTCTTTAATATCATCTCTGGTGAATCCAAAGGCATCAATCACTACAATGGAAAAAAAAAAAAAAACCACCTCTAATAGTTTGAGCTGTCTAAGGAAACTTAGAACAGGTTAGTTACAAAAGGTCATATCATCTATTGTTAGCAGGAGATGCTGGCAAGAGCTAGCCCTGCCGCCTGGCCTGATTTCTATCTCTGATATTTCTTCAACGACAAGTTTATGTGTAGAGAAGCTGATGAGACAAAGAGTTAATTGTATAAGCCAGTGTAGGAGCACTTCTTTCATTTGCTCATTTAAAAACCTTTGATTTTATTAAAAAACTGCAGAATGAAAATCTAGTCTCTAGCCAGTTGAACTTTTAAAAAGATTCCTCTTGAAACTCTACCACTGGAATCTTCTAAGGAGTTTTCAATGTAGTGTGATTTCACTCATAAAACGTGCACTTAAGTAGTATTTATTTATACTATATGTATTGAACATATTGTATTTACTATTTAGTACAGGGCTTACATTTTCCTTTCATGGTCCTTGTCACACACTTGGAAGATGATGGGACACAAGACACAGTGATGCTGCATGCAACACATGCTAATGTTTAGTTATTTATTTATTATTATTATTATTATTATTATTATTATTATTAGATAATTTAGTTTCTTTCAGCCTGTGCCAGCTCTGATTTCCTTTGGGGAGTACAAACCCAGAGGCTTATTATATAAAATGTTCAGGGCAATTATATGCATTAACTGAAAGAGGCAAAGTTTAGTAGTGCAAGTTTTAAACTCAGAAGTGCTCCAGGGAGGCCTCAAATTAGCCTAATGAACCAAGAGTCATATAGTTTGCTTCACATTCTTTGGCAAAACTCGCTTCCTCTGGTACAAAGAGAAACACACAGACAGTGAAAACGCTCCTTTGGGAGTCCCAGCAACTGGCCTGAGAGCATGGGTCAGGTGGTTTGTACTCTAGCAATAAAAGCACTTGACTTGTTTCTCAGACAATTATGAGCTCTCATCCTGTGTAGTTCCGTGGGCAGCCTTCCATAGGGTGATCAAGTAAGAGAAAGAACAGCCACTGTTTTCAAGCTTTTTCAGTTAGAAAGCTTCATCTCCTTGTAACCTTCCCAGCTCAAATCAAAGGGCGAATCTTGCCTTACCCAACCCAGGGGGCCAGAGAGGCTGTATATTCGGTAGGTTTTATTAATCTCCATTGCTTCATCGAGGCAACCAAAAGGCAGACAGCTAACTGGCGAGAGGAATGAATAAATGAACAGGCTTGCTCTCAGGTCTGGTTCAAGAATTCTTCTTGAGTTATGACTAGAAGGTTTCTGTGATGCTGTCAGCTTCCAGCCTAAAATAAGACACCAGAAATCTCTTAATGCTAAGAACAGATATGAGGCATTTACCTCACTAAGTAATTAAAGTTTCCTGCAGAGAATAACAGAGCAGAGAGGGAAAGATTCACTTGGGGCATGCTTTTGGTCTGACCTTGGCTCTTGACACAAGAAATTTACAGACTTTGACAGTGTGATATTCTAGAATTGCTACTTAAATTAGCTCTGGAAAAGAAAGAAACTAAAAGCAGTTAAGGGGAAGGAACCATAGCTTTAGAAGGTTTTACCCTGCATCAGAGAGTTTTGCGTTATGTGACTTATGTCCTATAAGCTGCATCTACTGGCCAGCCTCTCTGTGCACGCACATTTCTTTCTCTGTCTCCCTCTTGCCCCATTCCCCTTTTAACTAGTCAATGAATTGACTACCCTTGAACATACCTGGGTGTGTTCATTCACACATAAAGAAATGAGGAAGAGCCCTGGCCGGTTTGGCTCAGCGGTTAGAGCATCAGCCTGAGGTCCAGAGAGACCTGGGTTCGGTTTCCGCGAAGGGCATGTACCTCGGTTGCAGTTTGTCGCCGGCCCTGGTTGGGTCGTGTGGGTGGCAGCCACTCAATGTGTCCCTTTCACATTGATGTTTCTCCCTCTCTCTTTCCCTCCCACTCTATCTGAACAAAATATCAAAAAATGTCCTCGGGTGAGGATTAAAAAAGAAATGAGGAGATCCTTGCTATTTTCTATCCCTGGTTTAATGGAAAATAAAATATTTTGCTCTGGAGTGAGAATATGGCTTCAGTTTGGCTCCTGTAGACCCTCTGATTTTGGTCCTCATTAAGTATAGGCTTCTTGAAATTTTCATACTATATTATTGGCATTAAGTTTTTTAAATCCATAAGTGTGCATTTAATATATATTCTTTCTTTATGTAATTGCACTATGTTGGCTATTTGGTTTTTATTCCTAGGAATCCTAAGACAAAAGATTTAACACCAATGCAGACTTCTTAATTCAAGGTCATATACATCAGCATTTTCTGCTCAATGTTAGACTTGGTACTCAAGATTATATAATGAGCATGCCAGGCCAAATAATAATCACACTCAGGTGCCATCAAGTGACTGTCCTATTTCTATGTCAATTGTATTTGATACATGTTTAAAAACTTCAGTTATCTTCTACCAATTGTTATTTAAAAAAGAAAAGGTCAACCATATTCTTTTCTTTTTTGCAGTATAATTTGTCATCTCCCAGTTAAACTCATTTTTTATCTTTCCTTAGGGCTTTTGCAAGACATCTACTAAACAGAAAAATTGGAGTGGTGGTCGTTGGATTTCCAGCTACTCCCCTTGCAGAAGCTAGGGCACGGTTCTGTGTTTCAGCAACACATACCCGAGAGATGTTAGACAGGGTGAGTATGTCACAGGCCAGTGGAATCTCCAGTACCGGTACCTTGAATTCTGAACAGGTTCTTCTATTGAACTATCTTAGGGTTCCCTGGGTCTCTCTTGAGAGGTTTAGGAAAATAACACTAACAAAACTCACTACTAAAAAACAAGGGTATGATAATACTGTCCAGCAATGCGATCAACTCAGTAGATAGAAAAAGAAATCAGTTTAGTGAAGACTTGAGTCAAGTCAGTGTTTTTTGTTTTATAGAAAATACTGATGGAGTAGCCAAATCTTGTGCTTTTTCTAAATGCAGAAGCCAATTTAACATGCTAATTCAACTGCCTGCATCATGACATTTTTCATAGCCACCAAATTCATATAATAACATATAACCCAACTAGGCAACATGTTGGAAAACCAATAACAAAGACAGATCTATCCTATCAGCCATTTACATGAGGTGTTATTTAAAAATATATTTTATTGTCCTTTGATTTAAATTTGTATGTGAATGAGTAATATCAGAGAACTAAGTCATCTTGATCAGATTGGAGTTGATGAAACTTTCTTACAATGTCAATGCAATTTAGAAAATACTGTTGTCTACTATGTGAAAAATCCTAGAGCAAAAAGTCTAAGAGGAGATACTAATAAGTAGCAACTAATGAATATTAGACAGAATAAATTCATCTTGAAAAGAAAGTTTAGATGATTGCAGGAGCATGAAGGTAGAAATAATTTATTATATATGAGGTTATATATGTATATTTGTTATATATAAATGAGTTATTATATATGAAGGTGGGAATGACTTCTAAAAAGGGAAATCCACAAGCCCCATTTCACCTTTTTCAAAGCATTAGACCCTGATAATTGTCTTCCTCCTCATTTTCAGGTTAAGAAAAACAGACTCAAAAGAGAGTAAAAAGTCATACCCAACACCACAGGATTAGTGATATACTAAAAGTAAAAATTATGTTTTGTATATTCTGGATCTTAATTGTTTTATTTGTAAATTTGGGGATATAGTTACCTGCCTGAATTAAGAGATTGAAAAAGATGAGTTCTTGGTCCTTTGTGGTATTAAAATATATTATTCTGTGGAACACGGAAATTCGTTTTTAAAATTAAGGGAAGGAGAAGCCAGGTGAGAGTAGGGGGCAATTATAGGAGAAAAGGGAGGATACTAATTAGCTCCCACAATGTTCCATTTTGTTCTTTGCCAGGTTGATTTGCTGTGTCATGAAGATATAATCTAAATGTAGTCCACAACCTTATCTTTTTCTTCCACAAGTTTATCTATAAGTCATTAAACTTTACAATAAAACTAAAGGGTAAGCATAAGTCCGATACGTATATTCTTTTCTTCATACCATCAAAAATAAGTGAAACATTCATAATGTGGAGTTAGACTATCAAAGAATGTTAAATAAAGTGAATTAGCATCTAACGTTCCTCTAAGGATGCCTTATACACTATACCTTAGCGATTTGGATTTTTCTTTAAAATCAAAGAAGCTGGCAAAAGAAGAGTGTGGCTCTATGTGAGGTACTGGAGAGCAGAGCCACTCGGGTTTAAAGATAACTAATGGAAGACAATTTCTTTACAGGTTTTGGAAGTGCTAGATGAGATGGGTGATCTCCTGCAGCTGAAATATTCCCGGAACAGAAAGTCAGCGCACCCCGAACTCTATGACGAGTCAAGTTTTGAACTCGACGATTAAGTTTCCAGATCCTGAATGGAACCTAAAGACTTTGCCAGAAAGATTCTCATTTTGCCAAAAAAGAATATCAGTGGGTGTCTCTCCCTTTCTAAGGACAATTTGGTTTTTGAACCAACTTAGTTGAACTGAGGGAGATGTTGTTGTGTTCTTAATGTCTCCAACTCAGGACTGCAGAGACAAAAATATGCTTTCAGATTTAATTTTCTCCTCTCCTGAGTATCCTGCTACAAATACACACACACACACACACACACACACACACACACACCTTAGAATTTTGTTATGGTAATAAGTCGGTGTTTTATTACTGCTACTGTGCTGCCTTTTTAGTCCAGACCCATTCAGGAATTCCAACCAAATGAGAGGGTTTCGATTTTCAGTTCTGTAGATCTCACTATGTGTTTACTTATTCCATCTGTGAACATGGGCAAGAGTGTGGGCAGTAGCATACCTCCTTGTTCCCCACGTGAAAGCACCAGCTAGAACTCTTGTGTCACAGGAAGTTCCAGGCAGGAAGGTAAAGAAATGTTGCTTCTACCATTTGCCACATTTGGACTTTCTCCAAAGACAAGTGTCAAAAGCCATAGTTAATATTTTGAAGGAGTGAGCAGAACTGGTCAGCAGTGCCTAGAGACGTCTTTGAAGGAAACTTTCCTTTTCCTCTTGCTGGTCTCCTACAGTTTTACAGCTGAGTTTTTGAGGTTTGAAAAATTCAAGAAGTTTGTTTCATAAGGAAGGAGGTAGAGAGCAAGCACAAGCCAATTTTAAGCCTAGACTAAAACCATGAAGTTAAAAGAATTTGAACATTTTTGGTGACATACAGAGTGAATGTTTAGCATGCATAGTCTCTATGACTTCAAGGAATGAGCTGACATTTTCCTATTGAATTTTGAGTAAATGGTGAGATTCAATTTTCTTTAGAGTTGACTCCCAAGACTCCACTTTAAGAATTGGTTCAAAAACATTTTAAAGTAAATATTCAACTTCTTCAAGACTGACACCCCCATTTAGGCCTATTAACATTAAATAGTACTGTCATCTGCCACATGCACTTCAATTTGGTGCAAAGTGAACTTGTACACTATTGGCAACTAACTATAATTTACTTCAGCACCTCTCTCTCTGTCTCTGAACACAAGCTCTGCTAGAATAGAACCCTTTTGCTAATTGGATCTAGTTGGTATGGAAAAAGCCAGTGGAAAACCTTATCTTTAACAAGCTCCCAGATGGTGCCCAGATTTGGAAACTCTAAAGAGCAGTGGTGACCTTTTAGCAAAGCTTCTGTAATAGTTTGAATGAGTTACAGAACATTCCACTCCATCAAATGACACTATAAACAAATCACTTCAAGAGAGGCTTGATTTTGTGTGACACAGATGGGCCCATGCTTTTATGCTGTGCGCTGAGATAGAACCTCCACCAGAAACAGCACTGTTGGATGGAGCAATATGCCCTGATGCTCAAAACTTATTAAAGGATAAAGGTGATCTGCACAGAATGTTTTTGGAAATTATAACCCCTAGAAGGTACAACAATTTAAAAGTGGATCATGAACATTTTTAAGTACTATTAGCTTAAAAGGAGAGGAAGTGGGTTCTGAAATGCAGTCGCCCCATCCAATAACTAAATTTTAGTTCTTCTCAATGCATCAATACGGGAATACTTGTGCAAAGAAAATATAGGTTGAATAAATGTACTAAGACAAGGAAGACATGTAGGTCTTTTTTTGAAAATCTGCATTTAAATAAAATTGATACTAGTTAATTTTACAAAATGCATAATGTCTTCAGTCCTATAAAAGAAACAAGAGACAAAGAGGTCAGCAGCATGTCTGGGCCTTCTCTAAGTTATAGCAAGCAATAAACATCCCCTTCCATTCTGGATGTCTGTGATCTACGCACCCACCCTTTGAGTTTTAAGCCTCCAGAGGGATGTCTTTGTGAGCAGGAATTACTATCATTATTACTTTCAGGAGGCTCTTGAGTTTAACTCATGATAGAAAACTAATTACTTAGCCACTTGGCAAGGGAGGCAGGAGGAGATTACTCTTTTTTCATCAAGACCCAATAGTTCTGTTGTAATTTATTACTTTCTTGTATACAAGATAAAAAGACCTAACTCTGTCAGAGTCTACATTGAATATACACCTATAAGGACAACTATAATCCAAGTGGAATGTCTCATGAGCACATTAGGAGGGATACACACACACACACACACACACACACAAACATATATATAATAAGGTTGGTTAAGAGGGTGATTGTGAATACTGAGAATTTGTCTTCTGCTGCTAGGTTAATGAGATCATGATTTTAATTCAATAGGAATTACTGAGTTTCCATAATTATGGCAGAGCCAAAAAATGTCTCTGGTTAGTTCTTTTGGGAAAGAGAATTTTCTAACAGAACTATAATGTTATGTACCCCGCAACCTTACCTTCCCATTTGAAAACACACACACACATACACACACACACACACACACTTTCTTTTTTTTAGAGTGCAAATAAGGTAGAGACAAGAATCTAATTAGTTGATAGAGAGATGGAAAGTGTTGTCGTCTTAAAAATAATCTTCAGGGAAGCAGAAAATAAAGGATCCAGACTGATATTTATAAGAAGAATGATTTGCATAAAGAAATGGCATGAGCACATTCCTAATCTTATGAGACTGCAATATCAGGGATGTTTAGATGGATTGCCTTTTAGCAAGTTTTGGTCTATCAGAGACCACAGGCTTCAGAATTTACTAGGAAGCCTGATAAAATGCAGATCCTTGGGTCCCACAGCAGCCTTCCACTGAATTAGAATAGTGATAGGTAAGGGATTGTAATCTATGTCATAATTTGAGAACCATTATTGGAATTTTTGTTTTGATAGACCAGTTGGCTCTAATAACATAACAGAAATTTTGTTCTGATTCTGTTTATAGTTAAGGTGTTTATACTACTAAAGTAAAGTGAATTATTTCAACTTTTTCTACTCAGTTAGACATTTTGTTCCCATTTTTCAGGTATGTTCTTTTCCTACAAAAAGGAATCTAATATTGAAGAATAACCACCATTCACTTGAATAAATTATTCCTCTGTATAATTTTCTACAAAATGTTCCTTTTTCTTTCATCACCTTGTTCCATTGAATGTGATGTCTTGTTTCTTCATTTTTTTCTACTCCTTAAAAAAATCTTCAACCTTTGATTATTTATTTTCCCAAGAACAGCTCTTGAATAGGGTGAAAGTCTTAACAGTTCTTCAAACATGCAATGTCCCTCTGTACTTTTCTTCAGATATGGCAAATATACATGTTTTACTCTGACCTAAAGCTCTGATGATGAAACTAACTCTTAAATATATTTTTTATTTAAAGCGATGCTAACAATTATATTTTGAGCTTATCTAGTGATCTCTTGGCAATTTTGCTGATCTCAGTAAGAACAACATATTTGAATTCTGTTTTCTCAGGCCCACTGCAGCTGTGTAGTGTTTAAGAAATTAAAAGGAGTCTGTATTTTAAATGTTTCTAAACAATTTTTGTGGAGCATTGTCTTATGGTGTTGTGATGTGTGTGTGTGTGTGTGTGTGTGTGTGTGTGTGTGTGTTTTACTATAACATTTGAGGTGACCAATTTCATTTCATTCTGCCTGTGAAATGTTAGTTTATTTAATAAACAAGATACCAAAATTGATTATATAAAAAATTGGTGGTTTTGTGTTAATTTAGTTTGGGTTATTCTAGAAAGAGACAGAGGTAGAGACTTGCATTTAAGAATTTCAGTGAGGAAAATTGGCAACAGTGGCTGGTGCTGGCTTGCATTTTGTCACAAGAACCACTTGTGGTCATCTCTTTCCAATTCTGCATTCAATGATATCACATTAGTGACTTAAAATTGTCAGTGCTGTGAGTATTTACACCATGGAAACTGGAAAACACTACATTAGGGATCTGGAGAGTCAGCTATTAAACATTTATCATACACTACTGAGACCACATACAATGGTACAATATTTAGGCTGTAGTGAGTGATCAGGATTGGAAAAGAAAGAAGTCAAACTGTGATGCCATTACAAAGGTCTTAGTCAATTCCATGGGGAGCTGAGCAACTGGTATAGTTGCAAATGAGGGAGCTGGGGCTTTATGTCCTCCCCATTATCAACTAATCATGGGATGCAGGTAAGTGTGGGAAAGGGCATTACCTTGGGCAAGACTATTCAGCTGCAGGCAATTCTTGTGGAGGAACTCAGCCTTGAGCTGACAGCAGTTCAACCACTTAAAAATAATAATTTATAATCCATCCACTTACAAAAATATTTTACAATGGAAAATTTTAAACACACAGTAACATGAAATAAGTATGATAAACCAACATGTACCTGTCATCAGTTTCAAATATTATCAATTAGTGGCCCAGTTTTCCATCTATTTCCCCCTCCCATTTTATTCCCATGCCCACCAGATAACTTGGAAGCAAGCCCCAGAAATCATAAGATTTCATCAGTAAAGACTTCAATGACTCTCTCTAAAAGGTAGAGATGTCTTAACTTGTTCCTTAATTTGTTTAGACTTCATTACAAAATAAGTCTTCAGGATAACAAAGGATCAAAAGGCGTCAAATGTAAACCTTTTCTTTCTCTATCTTATAGCCTGCATATGAATTTCATGGATGAAGGCTAAGAATTATTTCTAAAGTAGGTATATGGTGTCTTAAAAAAATAACTAATCGATCATTTTGGGGCACTTATCATGTGCCAGACTCTTTGCTAAGCATTCTGACTTACACTATGTTCCAAAGACTCTTGGAGATGTTAATAATGGACTCATTTTGGAAGGCAACAGTGTTGAAGTTGTCATAGGATTAGCAGAGCATAAACAAGACTTTGAAGACTCTGACAGGCCATTGCTTTTTGGGGGGAATGTCCTCTCCATTACCAAAGCCAATTTCTTAAAAAGTTATTTCAGCTAAACTTTATATATTATCAGCGATAATTCAAGCAAGAATAAGAGAACAAGTGAAATTAGCTTAGCCGTTTGGAAAAGTTTGATACCTGTGACAATTAGGGTTTAAGGAAGAACTTGTCACTTTTATTCTCATTACATCCCTTCAAATGAGAGGCTTAAATCTGATGGTTGCCAGCCAACTGCTCTGAAAAGTTATCACAGATACAAATCAATAAAATATCCAACATCAGGAGGTCAGAGTAGAAGCAAG